AAAAAAAAAAGTGGAAATATCAAGAAAGAAAAGCCTTATCAATAGCAAGGAAAAAAACCTCTCCGTGCTGTGCGGGGCGCCCGGGGCGGGGGGGGCCACGACCCCCCCACGTGAGCGGGGGCTCATGCATTTGCCTTAATTAAAATATTTGCCTATTTTCCCTACCCGCAGGAAGCACCTATTTATCTACCTATCTATCTATCTATCTATTTRTTTATTTTTGGTATAGCCACGGTTTTGTTCAAAGAAAACCCGAAGGTCTCGCAGGCCGAGCGYGCCCGTGGCTGCTCCTTCCCTGCTGCCCGGGAGCTGTGTAAGGGGCAGCCTGCAGAAAAATCCCCTTCCTGGGCTTCGGCTTAGGAAGTTCATGATCCCGTCGTGCAGTTTGCTCCCAACAGGCGCTTCCCAGGCCCTGCTTTAAAAAGTTTCCTTGGCCGTTTCCCRCCGTGCTCCTAAAACGCCCGGTTGCAGGAGGAAACGCAGCCCGGCCCTGGCCTAAGCAGGAGCGAGTTGCGTCGGGAACGGCAGCTCCCGGCGCTAGCTCCATAGCTCCCAATTTGGGATAGCGTCGCTCCAAAGGCTGGAGCGGGGCCGGGAACAAACTCTGCAAGCAGTGGAGTCACCATGACAAAAAATAATTTGTTTTTATTTTAGATTCAGATTTCATTACTGCACTCAAACTACTACAACTGGGCTTTGAGTTATTATACAATCCAAACGGTTTCAATCAGAAACTCTAAGACTCAGTGTGCAATGATTATTATTAATAATAATTAGCTCCTTGGTTTCTTGATAGAAAAAGGCTATCAACAAGCATCTGTTTAACCACAACAAAAGTATAATTAGCTTATCCCACTTAGTAAATCTGTATGCATGCCAACTCATACCAAACTGCTACTTTTACAAAAAATTGCAATAATACAGATCATTTTTTCCAGTCCTTTTTGCACAAAATTTATTTACAATGTATACATAAATGCTCCATGATGGGACTATGGAAAAAAAATGCACACATGACCGATGCTCTGCCCAGAAAGCAAGTCAACATAGTAAAAATAAATCTTCAGTCCATGTTTCGAGCTGCATAAAACAGGAGGTGATGTACAAGGTGGTGGTTGCTGCATGGGGACAACGATGCTCCGATGTGACAATTAGGCTTCAAATACACTGCCTTTCCGTTTCCATGCTTCCTCCTACCAGTCTCCTTAAGACACTGCCTGCAACAGCTGATTAATCATTGTTGATGACTGCAGTTTTTCCCATCCTTCCCGATTTACATCTGTTCAGGCCAATTCAAATATGGTGAGTAAATGAATTAGACATGCAAATTCACGCCCCGGGCTAGAAAGAGAGAGAGAGAGAGAGAGACAGCGGGAACGGGGAAGAAAGGGAAGAAAGGGAAAAAAGAGAGGGACAGAGGAGGAGGAGAGAGAGTGTGTGTGTGTGTGCATGGCTGAAATCCTAGGATAGAAGAAAGATTCTTCTGCCTGACGTAGTTATTTTAATGCTCTAAAAATCCCGCAAATAAGCCCTTTCTGTCATTTGCAGGATACGTGTAAGGCTTCTTTTTAATGTAAGGAGGCTTCTGGAGGAAGTGAAGAGCTATGGAAACAACACACATAGTGTGGAAAAATTTCACATTTTTTTTAAAAAATCTATAAGAAACAACGTAATATGGATAACAGTATAATAGCATTTTACAATATTCCACTCTTTGTTCTCTTAACGTCTTATATAGGTATCTAGCATGTCCCCGGAAAGTTGACCTCGGTCGGTGTTTCTCCTGCTTGTCAGGGTCCCTGTGAGGAAGAGGAACGTTCCTTGGTCCGAAGCAGCCGCCGGGAGAGGCGGAACCCCGCGGGCGCAGGGCGGAGGAGGCCGGCGCGGCGGCGGGCGCTCCCGGGTGTCCATCGGGTGTCCGCGCGGGGCCGCGTCTCCGCCGGGAAGCTCGCCGGGGCCGGGGGGGTCCTCCATGCATGGGCAGCGCCGCGGGACGGGGG